TTCGGGGGGCTTTCGGAGGGCCCGAAGGCGCTCCCCAGACGGTCCAGGAGGCTTCCGAGACGGTCCAAGAGTTCGTCAAGACGCCCATGATGGCTTCAAGACGGCCCGAGAGGCCCCCCAAGCGCTTGAAGAGGGCTTCAAGAGGACACTTATGAGGGCCGCAAGGAACACACATCGCCCTAATTCCTTTGGGAAGAGTCTATTTTGGGCATATGCACTTTGTATTAATAGCGTCCACGACGGCCTCAGAGAACCCCAAGAGCACCGCAAGACATCCCAACAAGGCCTCCAAGACGGAAGACGGTCCAAGAAGCTCCCAGGATCGCCCCAAAACGTCCCACAGAGCCCTCCAAGACGACCTCCGTAGGCGCCTGTGGATCCCAGAGCGCTCTGAGACAGTCCAAGAGGCCCACAAGACACCTCACTCTGCACCCCTCCCCGCTCCTCCCAGATTCCTCCCCATCCCTCCCCGCTCCAGGCAAGTGTGCGCGAGGCGGTTGTATCTCTGGCCGCGAGATCCTGCCAGTGTATACCTACATGTACGACCACCCTTCGGGTGATAAAGAGGTTGTGCGTGTGGTGGTGGGGGTGAGGAAGGGGAACCAACTGGAGCTACAACATAGCATTGCATCGCACAGCAGAGCATAGCATAGCATCGCATAGCATCGCACAACACAGCATAGACGAGCATCGCGTAGCATAGCATAGCATAGCATAGCATCGCATAGCATGTCATAGCATCGCATCGCATCGCGTCGCATATACTAGCAGATCATCGCATGGCACAGTATGGCGTAGCATAGCATAGCATAGCATCGCATCGCACAGCATAGTATCGCATCGCATCACACCGCATAGCTTAGCCTCGCATTGATAACATAGCGTACTATGCGGGCCGAACCGTACGATGGCCGAAAGTCCGTCCAAACGGCGCTCTCGCCTCGGCGCGGGCAGCACACCGCCAGCGTCACCTGCACGCCGTGGCCAGCTTAAGTTTAAGAGCGAATCGTGAGGATGTCTCAGCAGAAACCGGCTTTCTTGGTTCAGATGGGCGGGCTGGACGACATGGGCGAATCAAACGCACGTTCGGGCCTGCGGCGGCCGCCCGGGACGGTCAGGGCACCCACAAGGCGCGCGCTCGCCGTCGACGGCGGGGCGCGGCTGCGGGAGAGCAGCCCGAGGCGAGGAGGCCCTCCCCCCACGAGCGATGCCCTGGCAGATTGGGCCAGTTTGATTGCCGCCAGTTTCCGTCGAACGCGTGCGGATCAAGGGTGCGACGGTGATAACGGATCATTGTGCAGGCAGTTGCACGTCTCGTGGAATATGTTGCGGCGTTTATTTCCGTGTTTTGCGTCGTGAATTCTTGTTATCCGTGTCGCGCCTCCGTCTACTCACTCTCCTCCTCCTCCTCCTCCCTCCTTTTCCATATCACGATCAGAATTATCGCGATGTGACAGGCCTCGCACTTGGGCAACACAAGGGGGTGCCGCCAGGGGATAATTAGGACACTTACCGGTTCGTGCCCAGATTGTGGGGATGTCTCCAGCGGTTCGCTTGTTTCACGGATGTAGGCGCGTCTTTTTCAGGGCCGCGTGGTGTTCGCGATGTCGCTACAAACGTTGCTGGGCGCCACAATTGGGAGCGACCACGGGGTGGGACATTTGCCCACTTGCGGTCAGCATTCGGGGATATCTCACGCGAGACGTTGGCTTTTTGAGGTGGGTGTACTTTTTTTCAGGGCCGCCACGAAGGAAGCGAATACTCGGATCAGTCCCGGCAGTCGCCGCGGTACTGGGAAGACCGTCGGATCGATCATTTCGTTGTCGATTTTTTTTGGCGCGTACCGTTCAAACCTTCAGGGTGGCCCAGTGTTGGCAAATTTTGCGCGGTGGTTGCACGACGAAGGTGGGCGCACCATAGAACCCTTCACGACAGCCCATCGTTGTAAAGATTTTCGTCGCGGGGCCTTGGACGCTCTGGGTCGTCTAGGCCTTGGATAGGCGTAGAGTGCGTGAGGGGTGTGCCGAAATCGGGCCCATTGAGCCGTCTTGAGAGGTACGTAGCTGTTTCTTATGTCTTGTTTCGCCGATCGGCGCGGGCCCCCGCTCCCTCCTCCCCAAAGACCAGATCTTGGCTGCTTAAAGCGGTTGCTTCAACCGGGTTGATCAAGCACTGGGGCCCGCCCCCCTCCTCCCCCCGGTGGACACACGAGCTGCTGCTGTACGTGTGTGAGTTGTTTTCTCGAGGCGCCCCCCTGGGAATGAAACAAAGGGTATGTAGGCAGCTGAAGTGGGATCATGCGGAATCCTATTTAGACCTGCGGCCGTCTGTATGTTTCATGGTTGCACGCCGAGTGGAACACGTCCACCGCGTCGACAACGAACATACTTTTTCGCGTTGCATGCCGAGTGGAATTCGTCCACCGCGCCCGCAACAGCTCCTCTGCCGCGCGGAATGTGATTCCATTGTTCCGCCAAAAAGGGTGTGGAAAGGAAAGGGATTGAGAGGGTTTGCTGAGAGGAGAATGCAGGATTAAGGTCGACTGGGGCTCATGGCGTGCATCCGTGGGGGCATAGAGGGATGGTGCGGTTTGCTGATTCATCATGATTGATAGAAGTCTTTCTGCTCTCCGATGCTGCGAACCCTAGACCGTCGCCGCATCTTGCTAGAACCAAAGCGCGCGCGCAGCGCGCGCGTGGTTCTAGTATATATATATATATGTATTGTTTTTTTGTTTTTTCTTTCTCCTCTGCGCATCGAGTGTGGCGACCTGTTGGTTGGCGGCGCCTTTTTGGTTTCCGGCGCGTTTTTGGTCTTCGGCGCTTTCTGGGTTTTCGGCGCTGTTTCGGTTTCCAACGCTCGTTTCGTTTGTGTTCTTTTCGGTGGCGTTCGGTTGCGCAGTTCCTTCGGTATTCGGCGCCTGTTGGGAGGGGGAAGGGGGAGCTTCCCTTCCGAGGAGCAACAAACGAGGAGGGGGGAGAGGCTCTGGCAGGGGAGGTCAAAGTGGGGGTAGCTAACCTCCCTATCCCTTTTGGGAAAGGGAGGGGGGGTAGCTTCCAGAGCGTGAAAGGAGGGGGGGTAGCTTCCGGAGGGGGGGGGGTAGCTTCCGAGGGGCCGAACAACAAGGGGCATGTTTCCGGCAGATTAGCTAAGCCCCCGCCCCCTTCGGAAAGGGAGGGGGGGGGTAGCTTCCGGAACGCGAAAGGGAGATTTCGAGGGGCGACCAAAAGGGAGGGGGGCTTCCAGCAGGGCAGGTACAAGGGGGGGTAGCTACCCAGACCTTCCGCAAGAGCTTAAAAATAGCCCAGGAGCTATTCTCTTGAAAGCGTTTTTTTCCAGCTCCAGTGCTATTGGGTGCGATGTTGAGAGAACTCTAGAATTATTTTGTTGTGTTGTTGGAATTGCTCTTTGGGAGTGCGCCGCGGGCGCGCTCTCTCGGGGCCGGAGCCATTTCGGCTGGAGGCCGAGGTGCGGGCCCGACAGGCGACGGCGGGCACCTCCGCCCTGGGCCGAGGCAGCGAGGCGCGCCGCACCGATCGAGAGTCGGGGGGCCCCGCCGTGCGGTGACTCGGTGGCGACCACGCCGTGCGGTGAGTCGTCAGGAGGGGGAAAAACACAGACACGATTCATCGTCGACTCCCAGGTAAAATATGGGAAAATATGGGAAGTGGGGGGGAAGACGGATATTTGTATGTATTTTTTGGCGGGGGCCCTGGGCCCTGCCAAGTCGGCGGGGATACCGGGGTCTCCGCACGGTTTTGGGACTCGCGTCGTTCGCCGAGGACGTCTCGGGCGACCGGGGCCTCCAGGGTCCCGAGGCCGTGCGCACACGGGCCGTGCGGCGAGGCCTTGGGGTCCTTCCGAGGCCGCCGCGCGGCCCGTCGCCGCGCCGCGGCGGGGCGCCGGCGAGAGGCCAGCCTCGTTGGTCGGGCGGGCGAGGGCCCGCGCGAGGAGGCTGGCCCCAGGGAGGCAGGAGGTCGGGGGGGCCCGCCGTTGCGGCCCCCGTTGCAAAAGGTGCCTCCTCCTCCTCCTCCTCCTCCTCCTCTTCCTCCTCCTCCTCCTCCTCCTCCTGACTCTGCAGACTCAGCGCGTAGGCGCGTCGGGGCGGCAGGCACGGCGGCCTCTCGGGAGCCTCTCTCCCCCCCTCCTCGGGGAACCCTGAACCTCCTCCTCCTCCTCCGCCTCCTCCTCCTCCTCCTCCTGAGGAGGATGGGCCGAGGGCCGCCGTGGCGGCGCAGGGCGTACCCGCCCGATCAGCGGGCGGGCGCGCGACGACGTTCTGCGCGGGCGCTGGCCATGCACGAGCCATGTCGCGTCGCACCGTATTGTTTTAGATGCCGCTCCGCGGTTGCGTCGCACGGCCCCAACGCTCTTCAAACGTGGGAGCTCGGGCGTAGCAGAACGTCGTGAGGTTTGGGCTGGGGGCTGGGGCGGGCTGGGGGTGCCCCGTCTCTCCCCTTCCTCTTTCTGCCTCTCTCCGTTGCCATTTTTTTTTTTTTTTTTTTTTTTTGTTTTTCTCGTTTCTGTTTTTTTCTCTCGTCTTGCCCCCTCCCCCTTTTCCTGGGCCTTGTCCTCCCTCGACCTCCCAGGCCTCGGAATGCTGGAAAGGTCGCCGTGGCCGTGGCGGCGCAGCGTGTGCGCGCCCGATCAGCGGGCGGGCGCGTGACGGCGTTCTGCGCGGCGTCGCGCCGCATCGTATTGTTCTGGATACTGCATTGCGTTTTTTCCGCACGTCCCCAGCTCTCTTCAAGCCTCTGACATTTTGGGTACCAACTCATGGGGGCCTTGTAGGTCTTCGGAATTTCGTCTTGAGTGCACTTGCGTGCGTTCACCGTCTCATAGTCGATGGGGAATCTCTGGCTTAGTAACGATTCGGCGTCGACTAGCGTGGGCTAGCGTCGGTTGGCGTCGATTCGTACGAGCCAGCAAGATGGCATGGGAGGCTCGATGATGCCCGGCAGGCCAAGGCCCCAGTGCGCAGCGCCGCTGGCCGCCCGAAGGTCGGACAGCGTCGCGCCCCTCGCGTCCGCCGCGGGCGAGTTGGACGAGGAGGCAGGGAGGGGGGGGGGCGGGAGGCGGACGGGTCGACGATCCTCAGGACGCGTGTTAGTCCGAGGTGTGTGTTGCCCCGTACGGTTCTGCCGATAGCACGCGAACTGTGCTGGCCCTCGTTAGCTACGCCGCCTTCGTCGCATTGGAGGGCTTTGGTGGACAAACACACGCTGGCGCCAACACGCATTCTGAGGATAATTGCATGGGGCAGTGAGGCAAGGGGGCGATTTCAGGGCCCCAGGGGGTGGAGGGGAAGCAGAGGGGAAGGGACGGAAAGCGGTAGGCTCATGGATTATGATGATGATGATGATGATGATGATGATGATGATGATGATGATGATGATGATGATGATGATGATGAGGATGAGGATGAGGATGAGGATGAGGATGAGGATGATGATGCTGATGATGCTGATAGTGGTGATGATTATGCTCATGCTGATGATGCTAATGATGATGATGCTGATGCTGATGATGATGGTGATTGTGATGGTGATGGTGATGGTGGTGATGGTGATGCTGATGCTGATGATGATGCTGATACCGATGCTGCTGATGCTGATGCTGCTGCTGATGATGATGACGATGCTGGTGAAGATGATGGTGATGGTGATGGTGATGGTGATAAGGATGACGACGACGATGATGATGATGTTGATGATGATACTGATGATGATGATGATGATGATGATGCTGCTGATGATGATGATGATGACGATGATGTTGATGCTGATGCTGATGCTGATGCTGCTGATGATGAGGAGGAGGAGCAGGAGGAGGAGGAGGAGGAGGAGGAGGACCAGTGTAAACCCAAGACGCATCAACGATGTTTCAATACACCCTCCTCTTAGGTCCCCGCTTCATAGGTCCCGTTAGTTTTCAGTGCAGGAAGTGGCCCGTTGAAAAAACACACGTCCGAAGGATTCAAAATTAAAGAGTTCCATTCCCCCAGATTCCAAATCTGGAGATGCCTCGCCATGACTAGAAACAATGGCAATACAACAAACGTTTGACATTCTAATTTTGAGGTGTTCGGGCACTTCTCAACTTCCGAGCCTCTGTGAAAAGCCTAAACTGAGCCAGAACGCACTTCTTCACGCTTTGTGTATCCCCACCAACCCGTTCAGAAACCCTGCCAATGAGAGTTGTTTGGAAAAGGGACGAATATATATATATATATATATATATATATATATATATATGCGCAGCCCCCCCCCCAGCACCCACAGATTTTCATCGCGGTTCGCGCTGATCGCACTCGCATTTTCTTTACTGCCAGATTCGGTTCTCGCCCTGAGACGGCGGCATCGAATAATGAACGTCATCTGGAGAGCCAACCACTTGATCCTGCATCTCCTTCCCCTCTTTCACCTCGTCCATCCTCCTCCTCCTCCTCCTCCTCCTCCTCCTCCTCCTCCTCCTCCTCCTCCTCAACCTCAGAAGATGCAAGCGTCCGCTTCCCCCGCCTTTGGGAGAACAGGTATAAGATATCAGCGGCAGCGCTAACAAGAACGATAAGCGAACCATATGATTTCTCAGGCATTCCAGGGATGCACAGGGATGCTAAGTGACGATCGCTGTACAGGCTCAGGGATCCCAGGGATTCCAGGGATGCGAAGTCACGATCCCTGAGCAGGCTCAGGGATCCCAGGGATTCCAGGGATGCGAAGTCACGATCCCTGTGCAGGCTCAGGGATCCCAGGGATCCCAGGGATTCCTAACCCTCCAGCAAAACCGACCTGGGGATCCACCAGCGATCCCGACCTGGGGATCCACCAGAAGTCGCTGGGGGGGGCTGTCCATATATATATACACACACATACATATATATATATATATATATATATATATATATTATACATATAACGGCGCACCGGGTCCGGGGGCCCGGGGCCGGGACCCCGACCGCAAATGTGGGCCCCGGGGGGCCCGGAGGCTCGTCGGACCGCCGGACGCCGTCCAAGATCGTTCGCAGGCGGCTTCGGAACGCGCTCCGATGGCCCCAGATGCCTTCAAGACGCCTGTCATGACACCAAGACGGTCCCAGAAATCTCCAAGACGCTCCGAGAGGCAGCCCAAGAGAGGCCCAAGAAGCAAACATCGTGCCATTCCTATGGGAAAACGTATATTTTTCGCATGTTCGCATCTGGGCTTTCACCGCGTCCAAGACGGCCCAAGAGGCCTCCAAGACGGCCTAGGAGGCCTCCGGGAGCGCTCCAAGGCTGCGCACGAGTGGCTCAGGACGGCCCCAAGACGGCCCAAGAGAGCCCCAAGACGAGTTCGAGAGGGGTCCCAGACGGAGAAAGCCAACCTCGAATTCCGAGCTTCCGGCCCAAGAGGCTCCAGGAGGCGCCAAAATGCCGCCAAGAGGCGCCACAAGGCTCCCAAAAGCACCCCAAGACGTTCCGAGAGGCACCCCAAGAGAGGTCCAAGAAACAAAAATCGTGCCACTCCTATGGGAAAGCGTATATTTTTCGCATGTTCGCATCTTGGGCTTTCA